GATAGACCTTGTATAAATGCCACTGGTACCACAAATAAGACCAGAAAAACAAGAGAACCTAGAACAGTAGCTATCCGTCGAATCCAAAGCTGCTTATAAGGAAGCCAAATGTTTGACCAATACACATCATCTGGTTCTGGAGCTAGATCAGTAACCCACTTTGTAGGGTTCGAAGTCTGAAGTGCTTCTGAAGCAACAAGTGCTCCATACCGAGTTTTGAAAAATACAAAAGCAGCTGCACATTCCTGTAAATAGTTCCAGAACTGAAGTTACTGATTTTATTCTTATTGAAGATGAACATAGTAAATAAAGCAATCAATGCTCGCAAAACTGCAAAGCAAACCTTCTTATCTATGTTCTTTGCAACTTCGTCAGTCGGTAACAACTGGAAAGAATCCGAAGAGGCTCCACAAAGACAACACGGGTATGTAACAGCCTTGCACCTCTGATCTAGAGTTGTGTCTGTGGAAGGGCCTGACATTCCACATGCCTTCTTTGCACCAGTCTGCAGCATATTAAACAGTTTTACTCCAAAAGCAGGAAGCAAAATGCTAATATGCAGATAAAAGGTACAAATCCAAACCAAGCGATTTGAGATCATCCCCACCCTCCAAACAGATAGAAATGTTGTATGAGAATTGCTTACCATTATCTTCTGAACTTTCCCAGCCTTGTAAACAACTTGATGGAATAAGTAACTTGATGCATGATACTTGGTGAAGAAATCATCGACATCACTACTGCATGATTCATTTGCTGTCTTTGGTATTCCGCGAACAAGCACGGTAAATTGGCCTGGATTTAGTGTTGCACGTTTAAGGTGAAGGAGCCTCAGCCTAGCAATGTGCCCATACTCCTGAAAAAATGGGTAGAGAAACAACATTAAATGTGTTCCTCAATATGAGGAAACAGAATACTCCCTACTTTCTACGAGCAAAAAAAAACTTACAACATATAGGAGAAAGCAAGCTACTCCAGATATAATGTAGAGGACTATAGAATGAACCCAAAGCCTGCAATACAGCCAGCACATAAAATGAATACAGAAGTGTGGATGTATGTTGCGCCACCATACATTGCCTGTTCTTTTCTAATGTCTTGAAGAGTGGACATACAAGGAACTAATCAAGTCAAGGTAGAGGCAAAACAAGATAACCCTATAAATCCAAATGATCAACGCAGCATACCACGAATAAATATAAAATTTCAGCCTTGATAAAACTACCTTATGATAAACCTAGAATAAATTGTTCAACTCACCATCTTGATTGCACTTCCACATTACCAACTGTGAACATATGCAATTGTTCTGACGAAATCTCAAGGCGATGCATCTTTCGTCCAAAATAATGCACTGGAAGAATTCCAAAAAGACACAGGATGGCAGCTAGGGAAAAGATGCGTATGCTGCAGAAAAAAATATGAATACATCAGTTTGCAAATTTGGAATCTGAGGTCCATTAAGCCGATAGAAAAAGGATTCTTCTTAACAAGCACTAAAACAAGCCCAATTTTATAAGGCAGCTGCCAGAGCTTCCACTTTCCGTCTCCTGATTTTATAGTCAACACATACATAGATGGATGTTAATATGCTCATCAACCAGATACCAGTGTCTTCTTCTAGCCAGCAGAATAATGATACCAAGGAAGGAGTACATGGATATCAGGACAAAAACTCGGGAGTACCTGAATACTAGCATTCTATTGAAAGCAACAGCATCCAGCCCAGCAGCTGCCAATAGCTCTTCCTCGGTACACTGCAGGGCCTTGACGATCCAGCCAGTGGATGGAACAAACCTCTCCAAGATGAAGGCCTCTCGGAGCAGTCTATTCTCCTCGGCGATCCTCCGGCCGAAGTAGACCCTTACAAATGCTGGCTGCTTTCTGAGAACGGAATAGAGCGACCACAAGAGCACGCAGATCCCAATATTGATGCCAGCAGAGGTCATGAGCGCACTGATCTTCATGGCTTCCTATCCTATCAGACCAGCCACGGACAAGAAATGGAGCACATGTCATCTAAGCATCATCCTTGATGTCCTCGGGGCCTACAGGTACAGAAAGATGAAGATATTTCTTAACAGTAGTAGACACTGAAGTAGTCTAAAGTCGAAACTGCACAAGTTCCAGATGAAGCAAAAAGCTACTCAACTTGGTAGTGTGACAAGACCATAGTTAAAAAAGGCATGCCTGGGCGATAGCAGCGCGTAATATGCACATAATTACGCTTAAGCGTGTGCTTTTGTCAGAAAAGCACAATTAACTCCTAGTGCTGTTTTTTTCAAACTTTGGATGTATCAGTTAACTGAGATTACCAAAGATTCCCCTCTAAGTGGCTACAGAATCCGAGCACCGCCCTGCTAGCTCGATCAAAGCACAAATTCCATCAGATATGAACTGGAGGAATCCGAGCACCGCCCCCCTCTGGCTCGATCAAAGCACAAATTCCATCAGATGTGAACTGGAGGAATCCGAGCTGTCCGGCTGATTGATGTCATCTAAGCATATACAGAAGCATCATTCTTGATGTCCTCGGCACCTACAGATACAGGAAGATGAAGATACTGCTTAACACTAGAGACTGAAGTAGTCTAAAGTCTAAACTTGACAAGTTCCAGATGAAGCAAAAGCTGCTCAATGTGGTAGTGGGACAAGACCATAGTTAGAAAGGCGTGCCTGCGCCGGGATAGCAAAACCCCTGGTGCTTAATTGCGGTTAAGCCTGCGCTTTTTGTCAGAAAAGCGCAAGGCAGTTGCAAAAGCACAATTAACTCTTAGTGCTGTTTTTTCAACTTTGGATGTACTTATCAGTTAACTGAGATAACCAAAGATTCCCCTCCAAGTGGCCACCGAATCCGAGCACCGCCCCCCTGGCTCGATCAAAGCACACATTATCTAGCACGACATGGTAATATCGCATACTCCGAGCACAGATTCCATGAGATGATTTTTTTGCGGCAAATTCTGAGCAAAAATTCCTTCAGATAATTTTTCTGAGCACAGATTCCATGAGATATGAACGGGAGGAATCCGAGCTGTCCGGCTGAGTTTAACAGGTGGTGGGCTATATTCGATCAAAAGTACTGAGCAGGAGCGCTTCAAAATCAGATTCGACCAACTTGGGGGCTAATAATTTGACTAGAAACAAAATGGAAAACTTCCAACCTCTGACCAAAATGCCGAGAACACTACAGAAGAATTCAACCTGCCGTTCTGATGGAAGTAGCAGAAGAATACATAGGAGCAGAACAAAAGGGGGGAGGAAGAGGAATCTGCTACCTCAGACTGGACTGGAACAGCCGCCGGAGCCAAGACGTACGTCGTGCGCCCGCCGCCGCAGAGGCAGGAGGAACCCTACGCCACCCTGAAGCGAGCGGAGAAATCAGAAGGGAAACGCGGCGGGCGTCGGGAGCATTGGCGGGGAGAGTAGCGGGGGAAGCGCCCGCCTCGACGGAGCGCGGCAATGGCGAGGGGCCGAGGTCGCCGGCGATTGGTTGGTGGGAGGCGGGAGGGAGGGAGCGACAGGTCAGAGGAGTTGATTTGTCTCGGCAGAGCAGAGAGAGAGAGAGGGAGCAGGCAGAGGCAGAGCCCATCCACTCCTCCCAAAACCAACCAATTCCAATGCGGGGCCCACCCCAGTGCATTAAAGAAAATGTGTATACCATGTTCAAAAATTGGGCACTCGTGTACGTGTAGAAAACTTCATATACATTTTGAGAATGGTTGTTCGTACGTAGGAGCATTGTGTAAATTTTAAACAAGTTTGTACGCGCCCCATCGCCGCCGAAAACAACGAAAAAAAGAAGAAGAGTGTGAACAGAGAAAAAAAATGATAAACGAAAAAGAAAAAGGAAATGGATAGAGAAAAAAACACATGTGATAATAATAGAAACGGAAGAAACAAAAGTTAAGAAAAAACGCTTCACGCTTAGTATGTCGGCTCAACGGTGGAGACGCTTGAGACGTCGACTCCCTGACGCCTGCAAACGAGCGGTGTGTAGAAATTGCGGACCCAACCACATCACTCAGGCTGGCAACAAGGAGCAGCAATGCCCCCCACAAGGAGGGTAGATTATTCACTAATCTTGCTTCCATACATAATTATTCCTCCAACCTGATTAATAAGTAATACAATTCGGGATCTAATTTGAATACAGTTCATCGGGCTTCCTTGCGTGCGCTCCACGCCGCGCTGGCCCTCCCAAATTGCAAGGATTATTATTAATTACTCCCTCCGTTTCATAATATAAGAGCGTTTTTTACACTGGTGCAGTGTCAAAAACGCTTTTATATTATGAGACGGAGCTAGTGTAAAAAACGCTCTTATATTATGGGACGGAGCTAGTATTAGCCACCGATAATTGCTCGCTAATCAACATCGTAACCAAGGGGTCATTTCATTTCATTATTTAACCAACGGATCTAGGCTGCACGCTCGGTTACTATTTTTGGACCGACCAGGATATAAAAAGAACAATGGACAACAGGACTGGCAACTCCCCCTGATTTTTATCCTCGCTGTAGAGTTCGCAATCAACCAAAGATGTTGTGCCTGACCAGTGCTAGATGCCAAGAGCTGCCACCAAATACAAAAATGATTGCCCATGCCTCTCGACAAAAACAGGTCAAGTTCATCATCAAACGGAGATGCCCAGGACAGAACTAACCAGACAAGCATGAAAACCACAGCCTTGGATGTCTACAGGTAAGAAGACTTTACAGGTAATGATGATCATGATACCTCACGACACCGATCACTTTCATGTCTGTCGAAACTTCCGGACGCTGCCCCAGTTAACCATGATGATGCTTTACTTGGATTACTATTTTTCTTAACCTATTCTCTAATGTATCTTGTGTACTTGTATGTATGATCTATAAACCCCCTCTTTTTCCAAAAAAAAAAAAAAACTTGTACGGCCTATATATCGCTGTACATTTACATGAGCGGCCACATGATGAAAGGGTTCGTCAGTAGTTAGTTGTCCAACGCTGGCTGTATCATGACAAGCCTCTTTTCTGCAGCCTAATGAGGAAAGTGACGCATCTCACGGCATTCTGCAGACGGCTAACGGGAAGCCCTTTGAGTGTTGGGTGAGACAGATCCCTTCTGGGCTGCTGCTGTTCCTGGAGGGTCTCTTTGCCGTTGGACTCGTCCGAGCCACCTTTGCCATTGAACTCCCCCGGGCTACCTTTGCCGTTGGACTCGTCCGAGCTACCTTTGCCGTTGAACTCACCCGGGCTACCTTTGCCGTTGGACCCGCCTGAGCTACAACCTCCGACGTCCTCATCATTCCCGACGGTCCGAATCTCCTCCAGTTGTATATCTTCGGAATCAGGGAACTGGCAATATGCGGTATGGAGCCGTTGGTGAATATGTTCCATTCTTCCTGACAGCTCGTCCTCCCTGTCCATGTCGATTAAATTCTGCACTTGCGGAACACAGCGGTCAACAAAACAGGGATAATAATCACCGGTCAGGAAATGGCAATAAAGTTCTGCCCCTGAGTTATTTCCGAGTTTGCACTAAAAACTAGGTTCATGTTCATCAGTATGTTATTTCCTAGCTTGGAGAATTATGGAAGCAATGCAAACCTGTGCTGGGAAAGTGCTGAACAGTGGAAGAAGCCGGGTTCTGCAATACTGATTGAACAGAAGAGTGAAGATGATGAGAGGTATGGTGAAGCCTGCAGCTACTGGTGATACTTTCAGGCCAAATACACCGAGGCAGATGATCTGGGTGAGCACGAGAGAGAATATCACTGTGTTGTGTATAATCGGCCAATACAAACCACCGGTGTCATATCTCGTGCGGTACACATTGAGCAGCTGAGGACATATACAGATGGCAGATCATTAGCATACCAAGCAAAAATAGCAAATATACTTTGTATCAAGTATTTAATCGTTGACAAGAACATCTTAAATTGTCCTAATTTATATCTGCGGATAGCACTGTGTAAGCTACTAAACAATGTTCACCTATATGTATAATGGCAACATAGTTGTTCTAAGAAAAGAGAATGCAACATAACAACTGCTATGGACTTATTAGTATAACACTATAACACCAACTCTAGTTTCTCGCTCACCTGATTGCGGTATACGACATAACCCAGGAAGAAGTAGACTAGCAGAAAAGGTAAGATCAAGGGCGCCAGTACAGAGCATGTGAATCCCAATAGTCCAAACAACAATACTTTTGGTACTTCAGTGTGATAGGGGAACGAGGGGACAAACTCTGTATCTTCTTTCATTCTCAGAACATACTTCCTTATGAAGTTATAGATCAGACCAAAGAGTTGCATAAGTTCAGATGATAAACTGGCCCATCCTGAAGTCAGAACATAGGTGATGAAGAAGGAAGCCTGAAATCAAAATGGATTTACAGAATTGCAGTCAGAATATATTGACCTTCCATAAACAAAATGATCTTTCTGCATTTTCTCAAAAGAAAAAAGAAGAATGATCTTCTACTGCGTAACAACAAGATGGAACTAACCTGCCCAGGTATAACCTTAGCGAGCTGGACAGGAATGTCCTTTGGGCTTGAAAAAAAATCCAATTGTTTTAAGACAGTACCAGATACCACATTAACAAAGAATACATTCCAAATCAAGAAGTACAGCACTTTACAGCAAGCACTCCTCTTCCTTTCGCTGTGAGATACAGGCCCCTCTAGTGTTGAAAATAGCATCATTATTGGCGCAACAGAGTACAGAAATATTTGCAGTATGACACTCGGAAGGTATCCAGTTATTAGTTGGACCATGTGGTGTGGCCTGCACATGGAAGAGGAGTCAATAGAAGCCAATTACAAATGAAGGACAAGCCATATGTCTATGCTGAATGGTAGTACCTTAACTATCACAAAACACTCAAACTAAAATGTGTTAATCGGTCTAGATATAAATGGTTTTGCTTGCTGTTTCAAATTTCAGCTCTAAATGAGATCTGATGCATACCAGACTCTACATATTAGTCGATAGGGAAGATGAAGTTCAATATAGATGTCAGCTCCAGTGCAACATAGGTACTTACTGCTTCAATATCCCATTAAGGAAAGGAAGCCTCTTCTGCAACTGATCAAGCTGAGATAGACCATTTATAAACGTCACTGGTGCCAGAAATAAGAGCATAAAAACAATAGAACCAAGAAGCGTCGCTATCCGTCGAATCCAAAGCTGCTTATAGGGAAGCCAAATGTTTGACCAATACACATCATTTGGTTCTGGAGCTGGATCAGTAACCCACTTCGTAGGGTTCGATGTCTGAAGAACGTCTGACGCAACAAGTGCTCCATACCGAGTTTTGAAAAATACAAAAGCAGCCGCACATTCCTGTAAATAGTTCCAGAACTGCAGTTACTGATTCTATATCGACTTGTTGGTAAACTTAGTAAAAGAATCAATGTTTGCAAAATTGTGAAGCAAACCTCATTATCCATGTTCAAGCTAGAATCGTCCAGGTCAGCTTTTCCTCTGCTCGGTACAACTTCGTCAGTGGGCAACAAGTGGAAAGAATTTGAAGAGGCACCACAAAGACAACACCGGTATGTAATTGCTTTGTAGCTCTGATCTACAGTGGTGTCCGTGAAATGTTTCAACTTTCTACATGCCTTCTTGGCACCAGTCTGCAGTATACGAAACAGTTTTACTCCAGAAGCAGAAGGCAAAATACTAATATGCAGATAAAAGGTACAAATCCAAATCAACCGATCTGAGATCAATTCAGTAACTCAGGGAGAATATGAAAAAGAATATGCAATATCACAAACACCTTTGCAGATAAAATGTATAAATGTAACTTAAATGATATGAGATCATTTCACAAATTCATGGAGAAGACAAAAATTATCATAATGAATGTGCAGCACATGAATTATCCCTTACATGACATAGCGGTTACCGAACCACGAGGAAAGTAAGTCTAAGACTGACAGCATTAAATCATAAAAATACTACCTTGGCAATTATGTCACGTTCTCCCACATCTCCCACCCTCCAAACAAATAGAAACGTTGTATGAGAATTGCTTACCATTATCTTCTGAACTTTCCCAACTTTATAAACAACTTGGTGGAATAGGTAACTTGACCCATGATACTTGGTGAAGAAATCATCAACAGCACTACTGCACGATTCTTTTGTTATCTTTGGTATTCCGCGAACAAGCACAGTAAATTGGCCTGGATTGGGTGTTGCACGCTTAAGGTGAAGGAGCCTCAGTCTAGCAATGTGCCTATACTCCTGAAAGATTGGGTAAGGAAACAACATTACATGTATTCCTCAATATGACGATGTAGAATAGTCCGTACTTCAAAAAAATACTTACAAGATATAGGAGAATGCAAGCTACTCCAGATATTATGTAGAGAACTAGACAATGAACCCAAAGCCTGCAATGCAACCAGCAAATAAATTGAATAAAGAAGTATGTATATTGCGCTCCCATATACATATTATTTTCTCATGTTTTGAAGAGTGGAGACGTGCACGGAACTAAATGAAGTCCAGTTAGAGGCAAAACGATTAACACTATAAATACCAATAATCAACACAGCATACGACAAACAAATATACAATTTCAGCCTTGATAAAACCACCATATGATAGCCTAGAAAAAAAACACCTTATGATAGCCTAAAAAAACTACCTTATGATACCCTAAAAAACACCTTATGATAAAATTAAAATAAATTGCTCAGCTCACCATCTTGATCGCACTTCCACATTCCCAATTGTGAAGATATCCAAATCTTCTGAAGGAATCCGACTATGTAGTATATTTTTTCCATAATAGTGCAATGGAAGTATTCCAAACACACACAGAAGGGCAGCCAGTGAAAAGATACGTATGCTGCAGAAACGAATGTATCAGTGTGCAAAACTCGAATCTGATGTTAAACTGATAGAAAAGCAGTATGACAGAAAATAGCAAACAAAAAAGAGGGATCCGCGATTTTATATAATAGAGGCCAGGCCTGGCGCAGTGGTGAAGTCCTCCCCACTTGTGCCAAAAGGTCCTTGGTTCGAACCAGCCTCTCTGCATTGCACTTCGCAGGGGTAAGACTAAGTTCCTATAATCCCTCCCCAGACCCCACCTTGTGTGGGAGCTTCTATGCACTGGGTCTGTCCTCTACGATTTTATATAACAGCATTAAAAGAAGTTCTATTTTGTATGCAGCTGCCAGAGCAACAAGTTTCTGTCTCCTTCTGATTCAGACCACACGTGGATGTTAACAAGCTCATCAATCAGATACCATTGTCTTTTAACCAACACAATAATGGCACAGAGGGATACATGGATATCAAAGACGAAATTTGGTGTACCTGAAGACAAGCATTCTATTGAAAGCGACAGCATCCAGCCCAGCAGCTGCCAAGAGCTCTTCCTCGGTATACCGCAGGGCCTTGACGATCCAGCCAGTTGATGGAACAAACCTCTCCAAAATAAAAGCCTCTCGGAGCCGACTATGCTCCTCGGAAATCCTCCGGCCGAAGTAGACCCTGACATTGGCTGGCTGCTTCCTCAGAACAGAATAGAGCGACAGAAAGAGCACGCAAAGCCCAATATTGATGCCCGCAGAGGTCAGGAGTGCGCTGATCTTCATGGCTTTCTACCGGGTCAGTCACCGAAAACAGATCATATGTCATCTAAATATGCACAGAAGCACCATCCGTGATGCCCTTGGCACCTGCAGGTATAGGAATAGGAAGATAGTGGTTAACACATTGAGTCTGCAGGCTGAATTGTAAATTGCACAGCAGCATCACTGCCAGTTCCATTGTCATCCCACCAGGAGTGTATGCGCATTCCAAACGTGCTTAACAAGTTCCCCCTTTACATCAGTTTTCAAACGAAACAAGCTGCATGATGTGTAAGTGCCACAGGACAACAGAACCGTCGATCAAGCAGTGGTCTCAGAAAAACCATACTGAAATTACCAAAGATTACCCGCAAATTAGCCCCCTCCCTTAGTAGATCAAAGCACATATCAGTAGTACTCCAAGGTCATAGTTTATATAATCAAATTAAATTCGATGATTGGGCAGCAGCAGCAGCATGAGCAAGCATTGCATTGCATTGCAAACTGGAAGTGGGCGAATCCGAGCTGTCCGGTAGAGTTGAAGAGGTAGGCCAGATTCGATCGCTCTACTGTGGGGTCGGTTCGCGTGCCAGCCAGCACCAGCAACGCAACGCTAGGCTAAGGCTACCCCGCAATCCTCCATGTCCCAGGTGTAAGTAATAAGACTAAATAAAGCTAACACGGAACGGAACAATACAAAATCAGAGCAGAACAACCGGTGAAAAAACACACCAACCAACCAACCGAGCGCAGGCTAGCTAATATCGCTGAAGAAAAAAGAGGAAAATAGGAAATCTCCGGGGCTTGCGCGAGGTGGTGAAGGGAATGCGTCGCAACCGTTGCCGCCACTTGGCAGGAACTCGCCAGAACCGAAACGAATCTGCCGAACTAAAGTAGCAGTAGCAGCAGCAAAATAAGCGCGCAAAACGGAGGAGGAGCGGCAGAGGAATCCGTTACCCTCCTAGTCGACGGGGAGGGCAAGCCCGCCGGAACCAAGCGAGCGAGCGAGCGAGTGAGGGGCCGGCCGCCGCCCGGCGTCGGTCGTCCTCGAGCGAGTCTCGTGCCGCCGCCGCAGAACCCTACACCATGAAGCGGAATCAGAAGGGAGGAATAAGGCGGCCGACGGTTACCGGGAGCGCGGGCGGGGAGAGGAGAGGAGCGGAGCGGCCGCCGCCCACCTGGGAAACGAGCGCGGCAATGGCGAGGGAGCAACCTCGCCGGAGATTGGAGCGGAAGCCTCGGCCGTCGGGCGTGGAGTTTTTGGTTGCCCGGGAGCGAGCGAGAGCGAGAGGAGTTGATGGGCTCAGGGATTCCTTCCAAGTCTTATTTTCTTTCCGCCCCTCCGTAAGCAACGCGAAAAAACCAACCCAATGGTATTTATTTCTGGCGAATAAAAACCAATCAATGGGCGAACAATAAATAAATGGAATCAACATGTGGTTGAATTGGTTAGATGGACAGTGATATTTCCAACCCATCAGGGTTCAAATCCTGGTGCTCGCATTATTTCTGAATTTATTTAAGGATTTTCGGCGATGCGCTTTTAGTGGGAGGAGACGTTCCCGTCGACGATGAGGCGTCTACGGTAACTTCGTAAATTTCAAGATGATATGCCGACTCAGTCTCTCAGAGATGCTCATAGGATAAGGTGTGTGTGTGTGCGTTTATAGGTATGAGTGTATGCGCGTGTATATGAGCGCTTGTGTCTATACTGATGCTCAAAAAATATAAAGAGGCTTGGCCGTGACGACGGCGGCTCGGGCCACGTGGTGGGAGCCGGCTGGGCCCATCTGCGGCGGCGGGTGTCATGCGGGGAGCCACGTAAGAGGACCCGGTCCGTCCATGGTGGTGTCGTCGTCATGGCGGCCATGCTCGCACGCACCTGGGCCGTTGGATCGGAGGCCAGCGGCCGCGATCTGGTCCGCCTCGAGCGAGCTACGGACTGCCGGATTGGTCCGCGCACGGATCACGCACGCACGCACACGCGCGTGCTGTCTGTTTAGTCGACCACGGTGAAAAACGCGTGCCAAATTTCTGGTAAATCACGTCACCTTTTGCTTTAAGAACAGGGCACTTGGCCGGTAATTGTTTCGTATTAAAATAATATCCTTCCTGCTTACTCTTTACATTTTCTTTGCAAAACTCAGACCTACTGTGAAGATTCGAGAAGTACAAAGCAACTCAAGCATTATAAGAGCATTACTAGTAGAACCCTCAAACTCTTAAATCCTTCAAGCAGTTTTAAGGGTTGAGAAGTACCACTTTTTGACATTTTTAAGAGTTGAAAAACAGAGGCAAATACTAGAACCCTCAAACCCAACCCTTAAACTGCTGCTTTAAGGATTGGATTTGAGGGTTCTAGTGTTTGCCTCGACCCCAACCTTTAAATCTATCATTTGACATCTCACAATTTATGACAACAAAAACACAATCAACTTCCAAACAAACTATCAAATGACAATCATTGATGCATGGTTTCATAGTTTACATCACAAAATCATAATCTTCCTCTTCTCATCGGCACCATCACCAAAAAGTTGCACCTCGGCGCCATCTCCTAGACCACAAGCGGACTCCATCAAGCATCTCCATTGGCACCGGTGGAGTCGTACACACCGCCATCATCACAACTACTCATCGGAGTGTCACCTCGAAAAGTAGAGGACGCAACACGGAACATCCTCTTCCTCTCCGCGATGTCCTCCTTGCAGTCCTTCCACCATTGCAATTGGTCTTCATCCATGTCCTTCTTGGACATCATCATGTGCTCTTTCTCTTCCACCATGAGTTCTTTCCATACCTTTGCCTCTTTGAGCTTGATCATCCTCTCCTCCAACTCGGCCTTGCGCTTTGCTTCTTCACGCTTTGCTTCAATTTGTGCAAGCTTGACCTCTTTCTTCTTCTCGGTGATAAGAAGCTTCGTCTCCAATGTATTCGTTGTCAATTCCTCTCTTGTCTTCATCATGTGGTCCATCTTCTCCCTTAGGCTTGACGCCTCTTCTTCCATCTTCACCCTTAGCTTGCCCTTCTTGGTTCCCTCGGGCTTGCCCAAGTTCCTCTCCTCCTCATCTTCACTATCATCCATCCTTAGCATTGCCGACTTCTTGGGTGCGGTCTCTTGATCCCTCAACTTCCACTTATCAAAGGTTTGAAGAATTGACCAAACATGCTTAAATGGGAATGGCTTGCCCTTGGAAGCGGCCATCTCCTTGTAACTCATGCCGGCAATTGTCTCCTATCAACCACACATAAATCACATAAGAACCCACCAATAGCATAGTGCACAGACATAATCAAAATAGTGAAGAAATATGTACTCACATAGTCACTCTCCACGGTTCCACTAGGTGGTGCATCTATCACTTGGTCCATGGCCGCACTCCAACGAGAACAAGCGGGCTTGATCAACTCCCACCGGCCTTGAAGCGACCGGAAAGAGCGATGGATGAACCCACTATTCTTCGGCTTGATCTTACAATAGACGTCATCGATCATTTGCCAATACCGTTTACCAGTTTGATCGATGCCGGTGGTTGCATCCATTCCCACAGCTGCCCAAGCACGAACCAAGAGGACATCTTCCGCCTCGGTGTAGTTTGTCGACCGCGCGTGTGGGCGGGAAGCGGCGGTGAATGCCTCCTCCCCTATCTCGGCCACCTCCTCCTCGTCATCCCCTACATCCTCCTCATCTTCCTCCTTCTCCTCCAAGTCGTCACCAACCCTAAAGGGGTCTAGAGGCGGAGCTCCGAGGTCCACCTTCGCGTTTTGGAGGAGGTCCATGAACGAGGATGGGTTTGCCATTTCCTCGAACACCTCATGCGCGGCGGGAGGAGGTTCGGCGACAGCGGCCGCCGCGGGCTTCTTTCGCGCCGCGGGCTTCTTCCGCGGCTTGGTCACGGTCGGGGACGAGCCGGCGACCTTGGAGGCCGCCCCTCGCGGCCCATGAGAGGCCGCCTTCGGCCGGCTCTTCTTGGTGGTCGGGGCGGGTGGCGGGGAGGCGGCGAGGGCGGGCGCCGGTGCGGTGACGGTGGCCGGGGCGGTGACGGTGGTCGGGGCGGCAGGAGGTGGTGCGAGGCCCGCCCGCCGCCGCTTGGCCCCGACGTGGGTCGCCGCCACCACGTCGGCCACGGTCGGTTGGGCGGGGGCGGGCGAGGCGGGCGGGATGGGCGCGGCGGGCGCGACGGGCGGAGGCGCGGCGGCGGTGGGGCCCTCCATGGCCGGCGCGGCGGGAGGCGGCGGGAGGAGGAGGCCGGGAGGAGGAGGCGGTTGGCTCCCGCGCGAGCGAGGAGGAGGAGTGCGGGTTGGGGGGCGATTTTTCCCTCAACCCCTACTTCTACAGATTGCAAAGTGGTTTGAGGGTTGGACCTCTAATTTTTTTTACGGGTTTGAGGATTTAGAGGTTCTAGTCTATGGCGTTTTTTCGGCAAAACTGTAAAAAAGCGGTTATTTTTAGGGGTTTGAGGGTTTGAGGGCTCTATTAGTAATGCTTTAGGAACTACATCTAAGTCGCTAAAACCGAACCACCATTGTCTCCGTTAAAACAAGCCGCGGAAGCACCTCTGAGCCGGCCTTACCAAATCAGTGACAGCCGAAAAATCTTTGTGTACTTATAATTAAGAAACAAGTGCCTCGGAGTCGCAATAATCATCTTTGAACCCTCGAATCGATCTAGAGACATGACATCAAGTCCCATCATCACGTACACATGATGAGAAAAAAAAACAAGACTTTTTAGGGACTAGTGACTTTTTAGTTATTAGGACTAAAAAAAGTTCTAGAACTAGAGAACCAAACACCATCTTATTTTCTGCTCCCGCTCTCTTCCATAAGCAACGCGAGAAAAAACCAACCAGGTGTATTTATTATTGCCAAAAAATAAAAAGAAATAAATTGGCGAACAATAAGTAAATGGCCAAATATTTTGCCCTGCTGTCGATCCACGGAGAAGGAAGGTGCACGTGGTGGGCACTGGATGGGCCCACGGGCAGCGACGCAGGAGTGGCGGCGGGTGTCAGGCCCCTCCC